CATCGTGTTTTTCTTTGTTTGTTTGTTTTTGTTTTTGTTTTTTTGCAGTACACGGGCCTCTCACTGTTGTGGCCTCTCCCATTGCGAAGCACAGGTTCCAGACGCGCAGGCTCAGCGGCCATGGCTCACGGGCCCAGCCGCTCCACGGCATGTGGGATCTTCCCGGACCGGGGCACGAACCCGCGTCCCCTGTATCGGCAGGCGGACTCTCAACCACTGTGCCACCAGGGAAGCCCTCTTCATCGTGTTTTGACTCAACGTCTACGATGTCTGTTTTTTCCCTCACAAAGTCATCCTCTGTACCACCAAAAGCACTGGAGATAAAGCATTTCTCCAAATTACCTGACAATTGTCTCCAGGCATTTCATCTAAGGCACTGACACCCATTCTGCAAACTAAACTCATAATTTTGTTTTTCTCAATCACATAACCTGTGACTGGAAGATGAGCAGCTTCTGTTCAAAGACAGCAAGAAATGTCTGACAAATCGATACTTGACACCCAAACAATAGTCTTTGCAACAGATGAATCAGTCAGGCTCACTGTTATTACTTTGAAATTTTTCTCATCTATTCCAAGGGATGTGACCATTTCTCCTGCCTTCAGTAGATCATGTAACAAACAAGCAATCCTTTGCACATAGCTCACTAACAAAACATAACAAGTCTTCAGACACTCGTGGGCATCTTTAGGTCTTGTAAATCATTTGACTGTTTTGCAAGAAAATACAGAAATATAGTCGTTCATCCAACAGTGAACACTACCTCGCTAACATCAAACTTTCACCCTGCTGTATTTTGTTACTTTCTTCGTACCCAACTTTTTTCTCATTATTTTGTTGAAGACATTTTAAATGACAAACCAATGTAATGTTAACAATACATGTAACTCAACTGAAACTCACACACTGGCAAGTATATCACAACTACCACCTGGCTGGCAGCAACTGTAAAACACCATTGATCACTGTACCTATCACAATTTCAGACATTAAAATGTAAAACAGAAAATGTACACCTTAGAATCAAGAAATCCTTCACTTAATAATGGTCGGGTAGTGACCCAAGGCAGGAGATATTTTTTTAAATGAGTGACAGACTCAATTCTTAAGGACTTTGATGAGTAATAATAGGAAGGACAAGGATAGTCAAGTAACTATAATACAAGGCAAGATTTGATTTAGACGAACTGCTATGGAATGCAGAGACGCTGCTATAGGAATTCACAGAGGAAGTCAAAATTACTTCCTGCATAGTGGGAAGAATAAGAGAAGAGCTCGGAGGAAGGGCTGCGAAAAAGGGTCATCTGAGAGCAAACTTAAGACATGAGTGATGGAGCAAAGTCTCAGAGGAGGTGGATGAATTCATCTTAAGAAAGAATATGCCTTTAGAAATGTATTAAGAAATATATCTTTCTCTTACAATTAACAGGAAAGAAGTGGTCAGAAATTACAAGAAACCTTAAAATGGAAAGGAAGATCTGGAGACAGGTCAGATTAGCTGCCTTGGTGAACTGGGAGACAAGGTGTTCATTCAAAGTGAGGAAACAGACACAGGCAACTGGGTAGGAAAGGCAATAAGGAGTAAATTAGGTGGTGAGCACCCAGCTGAGGCTGAATTAAATGAATTTTCAATGGAACTAATTAGCCCAGGCTCACAACTTTCTAAAGTTCAGAACGGAAGTAGGAAAAAAAATAATAAATTGTGGGATTTACTCTATGATATAATAGCTTAAGAATTAGAATGAAGGAATAGAGGACTATGAAAGCATTTATGAAATATCCAGTCCTAGAGACCCAAGTTTTCCAGTATTACTGAAGAAAATTCAATTGATTTGGTCTTTATAAAACCAGAATAATAATCATGTATTTATCAAAGACCCTCACATCTATTATCTCATTTCATCTTCCCAACAGACCTGAGACAGAAGATATTTATACATGCTTTTCATAGCTATGGAAACGGACTTCAAAAGATTGACTCCCAAATCACCCAGCAGATCCTGACCCGAAGCCACTCAAATGTAAGCCTGTACTTTCCTGCTGCACCACGGCTGCTCCCCCTGCACACTTCCTCCTCCACAGTCCACTCGGGAATCGGCTGCCCAGTGGTCCGCCCTGGTATCAAAGCAAATGCCACTGTACTCCCACTCTCCCTTTAGCCTGAGTTTCTAGGTCTTATATAAGGAACAGACTCAACATTTTAAACGTAAAAAACCTTAGACTGACAAAATGACAGGGCAAATTAAAAGGAGGGTATAAAAGCGTATTTAATTAAATTAAAATTTTAACATAGTTAATGTTTACTATGTGTGTAACACTTCTTTTTTTTTTTTTTTTTTTTTTGTAACACTTCTTTATACTTGAGATATGAGTACCAGACACTGACCGATTTCTCAAGGCAAGCCACGCAAATCCTCATATTCGGTCTCTAAAGCTAAGCTTCCAAAGTGTGCAAACAAAGTCAATGATTTTTGTCCTTGTTAAAACTACAATTAGAAACAACCCAAACGTCCATTAACTAATAAATGAATAAATAAAATGTATATCCATACAATGGAATATAATTTAGAAAGAAAGAGGAATATAGTACTGAAACATGATACAAAATGGATAAACCTTGCAGACAGTATACTAAGTAAAAGAAGCCAGTTACAAAAGACCACATATTGTATAATCCTGTTTATATGAAATGTCCAAAACAGGCAAATCAATAGAGACAGAGTAGATCAGTAGTTGCCAGGAGCTAGCAGAGCTGGGAGGAACTGTGGAGTGACTGCTAATGGGGATGAGGTTTCTTTTCGGGGTGATGAAAATGCTCTAAAATTGTGGTGATGGTGGCACAACTTTGGCAACACAGTAAAAACCAATGAACTGTCACTTAAATGAGTGAATTGTATGGTATGTAAATTATATCTCAATAAAGCTGTTAAAAATTCGCAATTAGCAGGTAGTTCCACTGGTCATGGGTGTATTGCGTGTGTGTGTGTGTGTGTAGACATATATACATGCATAACTAATTAAAGTGTGGAAGAATATAAGAGCCTACTTTAAAAGAAATTAAATGGTTTAATAACCCTCTCACAGTTCAGTGATGTCTATAAGTCTGTCTGAGGCGAAGACCTCCAACAAACTCATCCTGTTTCTCACACTCTCACCACAAGATAAAAATACATCTGGCTGCCATGTGCCTCCCCTTTCATTTTCCTCCATTCCACCCTCCACTCCAAATTTATAAAAATGTCCCATTTCATCCTGGCATTCCAGAACATTCGGGCATCTCATGACTATGCTTAAAAACTCACTCTTATTTCCCTGAACTCTGTTTCTCCTCCGTTTCTACCCTGTACTCTGATAAGTTTTGTGTTTAAAAACACACGCTACCCAATGAACTTACAGGAATGGCCTGATCCAGAGTAACTGTGCAGCAGAGCCATAGTCTTGCAGAAACTCAGGCTACCATATGTTCTGCCTTTACCCAACTCTGGATAAAACTGATCCCGATCTGATCTTGAAAATGTTCGGGGCAAAATGAGAAGATTTTCCCTTCCTAATACTTGATTCTGAATAACCTGAAGCTGTTTTCCAAGAACCCTAGGAAAGCAGAGGGTCCTTGGGTATATTCTTCTCAAAAAAAAAATTTCTTCTTAATTTGATATTTTAGACTAGACATTATCATTCTAGAGTACTGTGAACAATTTTTAAATGAACAAATACCAAAGATTAAATAACATGTTGCTGTTAGCATTTGAAATTGGTACAATTCATTCAGAAGGCAACAACACCACCTACCAAGGTCAAAATGATGCTAAAGTTAAGGGAGTAATTCGTTAGAAACAAAAGACTTCCTAGGGGGAGAGCTCTACCACAGCTTTAGGTGTGTAAGTATAAAAAACACTGGGGAAGATGTAGAAATACAATAGAAATTTAAAAGTTTGGTCAATTATGGTACAGAAACCCAACAGAATGCTGCAGCTACTAAAAAAAAGTTATAAAGATGAGGTAGAAACATGGGTAGCATTTATCATATAAAGTGAATGGCAAGAACACAAAATGGTAACTATAACACAACACTATGTCATCTTTCAAAAACACATCATCTTCTTAAATTGTCTTTTAAAAAATTTGGAAAAATGACTCACCTCCAAATCTCTCATTGTAAAAGGTTCCCCATCCATTCTATTTGCTCAATTAAATTTTTCTTTCTTTTGTCTTTCTGGCCACCTCTACTTTCTAGTATAGCTGTGTTTATCTCCTTCACTCATTCTTTTGATAAAAATTTCACTGCCAGTCAGGCTCTCTTTTCTAACTCTAGGAAAAATATCTATATAAAGGCTACATTTGCAGCAACATGGATGGACCAAGACATTGTCATACTGAGTGAAGTAAGTCAGACAGACAAAGACAAATACCGTATGATATTGCTTATATGTGGGATCTAAGAAAAGGGTACAAATGAACTTATCTACAAAAGAGAAAAAGAGTTACAGATGCAGAAAATAAACTTATGGTTACCATGGGATAAGGGGGAGGGGGAAGGGATAAAGTTGGAAGACTGGGATTGACATACGCACACTACTATATATAAAATAGATAACTAATAAGGACCTACTGTATAGCACAAAGAACTCTACCCAATACTCATAATGGCCTATATGGGAAAAGAATCTAAAAAAAGAGTGGATATATGTGTAACAGATTCACTTTGCTGTACAGCAGAAACTAACACAACACTGTAAATCAACTATACTCCAGTAAAAATTTAAAAAAATTAAAAAAAAAAAAGTCTACAGAGCAGAAGACAAAGTCCCCAGTGACTGCTGCACATACTCCCCACATCCTGCCCTGATCCCTCTGTGAACCCTACAAAGCAGCAGGAGACAGTGGAAGGAGATGAGGAATGGCACCAGGCCTCAAAGCTATTTTCTGGTTACTTGTGCTGGTCTCTTAGCATGCAGAGAAAACAGAAATTTAAAATAATAAACTACTGCAAGTTTCTTACCTATTGCATGAATCTGACTCTGGTGAAGAAAGAGCTTCCTCTTGAATATCAGTACAACTGGAAGAATCATCTGGTCTGTCAGGCTCTAGTTTCCCTGGGGAGTCCAGCTTTGACTGAGGGAAGTGGTTTGTTACCGAGGGTATACCTGAGAATTTCATTTTATTATCTTCCTGTCCTAAAAAGGAAAAAAGAAATGAAAGAAAGAAAAAAAAGAAACATTTAAGAGTACCTTAAAATTTACAACCTCTGTGTATTTATTATTTCCACAACATTTAATATTCCTATTTGGTAAAACAGAAGTTTATGGAACACTGATTCCAAAACTCTAGTGACAGCCAGAGAGTAAGAATTAGCACTACATTGGTGCTATCTGGTTATACTGTCCACCCAATGTATTTCCAGATTAATTAATTCAAAAATAAAATGTTCTTTAAAACCAGGAGCAGGGAGAACCTTATAATTCTAATGAGGCTTTTATTTACAGTATTACTAAAGAATTCCCGAATATTTCACAGATCAGAGAATAGTGATAAACATAAGAAACATGACAAAAAAGGATTAAAGATTCAATTAATAAGAGAAGCACAATATTTGTCACTGACTGCTGAATGGTAGTGAATCCATCTGGACATTTTTCTATATTTGTTACATAGAATCTAATATTCACTGGGGAAGAGAAAAACTAATCAGACGTAACCAATATATCTGTTTGATCCAACACATGTCACATTTCTACACATCCCTTGTCATATTCTCACTTTCCGAGGTCTCTTACTGCAGATAAAGATAAAGGCCCAGGAAAGCTGGGGGGATGCAAACACAGTGTTTGCAGGAAGATGACATGCAGATGTGACCAAATATCTGTGAATATGAGTGCAGAAAATCATCTCTGGGCAGGATTCTTCAAGTGTCCAGGCCCCTCCCTCACGATGTGTTTCAGGGCTCTGCTGGGACTTCACTTATGCTGGCTTTAAGATTCAGGGACCGAGTGAGTTCTTGACATGCCTGACACGTGCTACTGGGATACAGCCCCCTTTCATGGGTTTGCTCACAGAGAAGAAGAGCTTTCACACATCACTCGTGCACTTGTGGAGGCAAGTGACCTTTCACAAAGGACACCAACGAGAACTGTCAAGGTTTTGTCATAAAGATAAAGCTTATGGAAAAAGAATAAGACAGATTCTTCAAACAAACAAACAAAAACCTTTCCAACTCCATATAGTCAAGATTTTTCCAGAAACAATTATAAGTTTTTGTTATCCTCGCCAACAGCCTACATCACACAAGAGTACAATTTCTAAAAATAAGCTCCTGATGTTGTCTGGCTTTCGCTAAGCCTGCTCATTACCAAAACAAAACTGTACCCTCTAATGTTTACCTGGAAAAGGGAAACATGCAGTCAACTAAAAGGACCATCCAGGATCTCTAGGATATTCTCTTGTAAACAGACACCTAGGACCAGGTTGAGAGGAATCAATCACCCAGTAAACCCGGTGAACCCAGGCAACTCTATCACTCAACTGGCTGGGAGAATGCAATCAAGCCGGCAAACCACGGAGCAGGAATTCAACATAAAACTACCTTTTATTTTTGCACCTGATTTATATTCTTCTCTTACTTCTTCCTCTCTTATATAAGCTTCTACAGGATAAATTCCCTCTTGCAGACAAATGTCATTCAACAACTGGGGGCAATGGAAGTCAGTTATCCTTCATATCTGCCCATGGATCTCAGGACGGAACTCCAAATAAAGCCGAAAACATGAGGCCCCGACATTAAACCTCCCTAAAGAAACGTAAAGTAACAAAAACAGATGAAGGTTTTACTTAACAGGACACATACCTTGTTCACTAATATTGGCATTTTAATGAGCAAGTTTACTCTAAAGAGCAAAAGTTACACTGGTGGTATGATGCTATAAAAAGCCCAACCTGGGCTCCCCTGGTGGCGCAATGGTTGAGAATCTGCCTGCCGATGCAGGGGACACGGGTTCGTGCCCGGGTCCGGGAAGATCCCACATGCCGCGGGGCGGCTGGGCCCATGAGCCATGGCCGCTGAGCCTGCGCGTCCGGAGCCTGTGCTCCGCAACGGGAGAGGCCACAACAGTGAGAGGCCCGCGTACCGCAAAAAAATAAAAAGCCCAACCTTTCGGTCTGTGCCAGTCTGTCTGCCTCTCTCTCACACTCCCCACCCCTCCCAGACACACGCGTTCATGCGCAGCTATCTACCAGCAGCACTCATCGCTGAACCCCAGACAGAGCAATACTCATGTGCACATACACAAAGAATACACCACCCCTGACTACAAGCAATCAATCATTTTCAAAAGAGATTCAGCCAATAAACAAAAATATTCTCTTAAGCCAAGATATTGAGCCAGATTTTCTCAGGACCTCAACTACTCTCCGACAACGTCCTTTAACAACTGCATGAACAAAGTTAACTTGTTCACAAAGACCATAAAGTACATACTTATACTCAGGCAGCAGCCTACTACGTGACACCAAAAGAACTGAGGACAAAAATAAAGAATGTAATAGCACTGAAAGAATAAAACACTTAGAAATAAATCTAACCAAGGAGGTGAAAGACTTGCATGCTGAAAACTACAAAACATTGTTGAAAGTAATTTTTAAAAAGACAAAAATGAATGACAGATATCCTGTGTTCATGGAACAGAAGACTTAATATTGTTAAGATGTCAACTAACCAAAGCAACTCATCAATGCAATCCCAATGGCACTTTTTGCAGAAATAGAAAAATCCACTGTAACATTCACATGGACTCTCAAGGGAACCAAATGGCCAAAACAACCTTGAAAAGGAAGAATAAAGTTGGAGGACTCATACCCCAAGAGTTGGAGGAGTCCAACTCTTAAATTTGTTACAAAGCTATGGTAATTAAAACAGTATAGCACTGGCGTAAGGATAGACATACAGACCAATTAAATAGAACACAGAGTACAGAAATAAGCCCTCACATACATGGTCAATTGATTTTCAACAAGGATGTCAAAAGCATTCAACAGGGAAAGGACAGTCTTTTTAACAAATGGTGCTCAGAAAACTGGATTATCTACATTCAAAAAGATGAAGATGGACCGTTACTTACACCATATACAAAAATTAACTCAAAGTGGACCACAGACCTAAACATAAGAGCTAAAACTATAAAACTCTTCGGAGAAAACACATAGGAAAACCTTCATGACACTGATTTTGCAACAACTTCATGGCTATAACAGCAAAAGCACAAGCAACAAAAGAAAAAATTGATAAACTGGTTTTCATCAAAATAAAGCACTCTATGCATCAAAAGATACTATCCTGAAAACAAAAAGACAACCCAGAAAAAAGCTGAAAAATATTTGCAAACCATATATATAATGGATTAATATTCAAAACATTTAAAGAACTCTTAAAACTCAACAACAAAAAAACAAACAAGCCAATTAAAAAATGGGCAAAAGACTTGAACAGACATTTCTCCAAAGAAGAAAAACAAATGGCCACTAACCATATAAAAAGATGCTCAACATCATTAGTCATTAGAAAAATACAAATCAAAAAACCACAATGAGATACAAATTGACATCTACCAAGGTGTCTACAGTAAAAAAAAAAAAAAAAAAAAAAGGAAAATAACGAGTGTTGACACACATATAGAGAAATTGGAATCCTCAAGCATTGCTGGTGGGAATGTAAAATGGTGCAGCCACTATGGAAAATAGTTTGGTAGTTTCTGAAAAGGTAAACAAAGAATTACTATGTGAACCAGAAATTCCTTTGCTAGGTACATATCCAAAAGAATGCAAAGCAGAGACTTGAACAGATACATGAACACCAATGCACACAGCAGCATTATTCACAACTACCAAAAGGTGAAAATAACCCATTACAGAAGAATGGATAAACAAAATGTGGTATATAGATACAATGGAATTCAGCCATAAAAAATAATGAAATTTTTTTAAAAAAATAAAAAATAAATAAATAAAAATAATGAAATTTTGATATATGCTACAACATGGGGACCTTGAAAACATTATGCTTAATGAAATAAGCTGACAAAGAAGGACAAATAATATATGATTCCACTTATATGAGGTACCTAGAATAAGCAAATGCATAGACACAGAAAGTAGACCAGAGATTACCAAGAAATGGTGGGGAAAGTGGAAGAGTTATTATTTAATGGGTACAGAGTTTTCACTGGAAATGATGAAAAAGTTTTGGGTGTAATAGTGGTGATGGTGACACAACACCGTGAATGTACTTAATGCCACTGAATTGTACATTTATGAATGGTTAAAATGATAAATATGTTTTGTATATTTTCATCACAATAAAGACAAAATAATAAAGAATTTTCTTGTGCACTTTCCTCCATTATGATTGTTTTTTTGTTCACTGGCCCAAAGTCCTGGCAACATAAATATAATATCAATCTCAAATTTTAAAATGGGTTGAAATTGGAATGTGCTATGTATTAGCCTTAGATATTTTAGCAGAACATTCCATCCAAAGTTATTACCAGTGACCTATAATAAAAATAATTTATTCTCTTTGTAGGATACCTAAGGATCTGCAGCAATAAATCCTATACCTCAAGCTTAAACAACTAAAAAACTTCTGATTTCTCATTAATGGAAAGGAAGACAGATTTTAGAAACTGTGTCTTCAGGACATCTCCACGATCATTCTTCCCAGAGTAATAAACCTAGTTTATATCCAACAACTGCTATATGTCTAAAAGTACTTTTGCCCATTTCAAATACCAATTAAGTCCAAAGTAAATTCCTTTGGTTTTTCCCTTTTGATATTAAAAATTATAAAATTCCATATACTTCTGTTTTTAGTTAAAGTCTCTTACCCACGCATACAGATAATAGTTTTTCTGTAGATTCATCTTCTTCTTTTGTTACTTTTTTTTTTGACATTCCAACAGTTTTCTTATATCCTTTTTTGGCTTGATCCACCAGACGCTGAAATTCATTCTGATGTTTTATACCTGAAATTCAAAAGATCTTCTCAGTAAATCAAGGACTATAAAAGTTACATGTCTACAACCGATGGACTGAACACCAAGAATAACACAAGCTTGCTCAAGAACAGCACCCTTTGGACACACTTACAACGAATTTAAAAGGCCTGGAGAGCTGAGGAAGCATTCTTTTATATCTTCCCCGTTCCTCAGATACAAACTTGAAACATGATATTCCTAGTTCGCAACTGTAGTTTCTTCCCATATCCTGCTCTTTTAAAAAGGCTTTTTTTTTTTTTTTTCCGTACGCGGGCCTCTCACTGTTGTGGCCTCTCCCGTTGCGGAGCACAGGCTCCGGACACGCAGGCTCAGCAGCCATGGCTCACGGGCCTAGTCGCTCCGCGGCATGTGGGATCTTTCTGGACCGGGGCACGAACCCGTGTCCCCTGCATCGGCAGGCAGACTCTCAACCACTGCGCCACCAGGGAAGCCCTAAAAAGGCTTTTTGATAAGAGCATGAAAGATGCTGTTTTCTTAAATATAACCAAAAGACACCATTCTAACTTCCCAGACACAACCGAGTACTAAGAGGAAGAACATTAACTGAGTATAAAAGCAGAAACTTCTAGGAAAGTTGGATAAAAACATAGGATACCTACTTTAATTTCCCCTTTTTCCTTCACATTTCTTGCCTGTTTCCTATCAGAACCCCTTTAATAATCTAAGATCCCCACCACCACCAATCTACCTTATCTTAGGATATTATAATTAATCAATCTTAATTTACTACTACTTTAACACCTCTGAAGATAATTTAAGCCTGACCTCCAGGTCACCATTATTAGTGTACATTAATTTACTCAATAAAGAGTAGCCGTTCGTCATTCGACCATGGACTTGAACACATCTATTTGTGATTCTGAACCATGGTTCAAACAGCTGAGGCTGTACTTACTTATCTAGCAACCTTAAACACTTAAGTCATGGTCCAAAATAATGTTGTAGATCCTATAAAAATACATTTTAGAAAGAGTCATACTGCAAGAAGTTAACACAAAGTTTTGAGACTGTTTTCCTCCAGTAACCATCATATTCCCTGTAGTTATTCCCATGAATAACTGGGTTTAGGGGAAAATTTGTGCTTCGGTTGAAAACTATGCATTTTCTAGAGCCACACTTCCAGGATTCCAGTCATCCACTGCCCTTGAGCTATGTTACAGTTCTGTAATTTGTAGATAACCAACCACAATGGAAAACAATTCTTGTCTATAGACAAGCAGAATCCTGTCTGGTGAAGGTTCGATGGACTTCCGTCCCCCTCTGGAAAAAGCCAGTTTTCCCTCCATTTGCATATTCATTTCAATATTCCTGATCTATACATGTGACTGTTCTTTGGACATTAGGGACAGAATGCTCCTAATTCCAACATATTTATGTGCACGGTATGTGTATGGAAAACTCCCAGTGAAACTAATGTGTTGGGTTGCAAAGTGTCTGGTAAATTTTAAATAAGAGACTGGTTAAAATTTCAGCAAAATATAAGCTGCCCATAAAGATTACTAGAAAAAATTAGCTCTTCAGAAATAGGTGAGATCTCATGTAGAATACAAGCTAGGTGATTTCTTTTAAGTCCTATTTAACTCTGTACATTTGAGAACAATTACTTCGTACTTGTTCAGCTCTCCGGAATCAATGGGCTACCACCACTGCCATCCTTATGTAGTTTGTCTTAGGCAAGGGTAACACAGCACTATGGGGTCTACATAATTTAAGCAGATCAGCCTGGGCCATTCTGCTAGTAAGGCTTCTCCTGCTAGTAAGGCTCCTCCGTTGTGTACTTATGGATTGTGGATTTAGAAAATGACTCAGGAAACTTGCTAAAGTAATCTCATAACAGCTAAGGAGGCTTAATGACTTTATCTTCTAAAGTAATAAAATCCCAGGTTTAGAAGAGATTTTCTTTTTAAATCTAATTACCCCTACAGCTAGGTTGGAAAGCAAAAAGTAAATGGCAACCACAGCTTTGGCTTTGGCCCAAGAAGTCCAATAACCCCTCAAAAAATGAACAATGCCAAGAGATTATCACTAATAAAATTGTTCCCACTCATTTTAGGAGTTCTGCCATTTGGCAAGGAGAACTTTAGAGTTTAAAGTCTCAGTTCTGCTGGCTCAATGCCCTGAATTTACCTCTTAAAAGTTTTAAGTGGTTCAGACAGTGGTAGGAGCTGACAAATAAGCCCACATTGAACCAAGTCATACTCTTCAAGATTTTTAATACTTGAATCATACCACCCTTTCTGCCTCACCAAGTTGAAATACCATAATCTTTTCTAGTGCCAAGTGAAGCCCTTCATGCCCTCACCACCTCACCTGCTCTTTTTTTAGAGCAGCGTTTACAGCCAGAGTATCTCTGGGTCTGCCCATGAACCCAGGGGTGCACCAAAACCAGGATCCCAAGAGTGGGACAGACTCTAGCCTCTAAAGTGATGTCACTGAGATACATACTCATTTACTTTAAATCACAGAGTGCGTCTGAAGTCAGTGTCTCCCAAAGTAAAATCTCATGTCTTTTTTTCCCCAACTACCTATGACACCCACGCAGCAAACATGGATGAAGAACAGATTAACACTAAAGGCTAACATTCACTCAGGATTCATTCATTTAACCTGAACTGACTAGCCTCACTTTAAATTCATGACCGTAAGTCAAACAAGCACTCAGCACTATCGTACAACATTTCTACATTTCTCAAGTAAACTTTGCTTTACAATTCTCCAAAATGTCGACTTCATACTTTCTCCAAACCTCCAACACTCCCATCTCAGTTGGGCTCACACTACTTTGAAACTACAGAAAACTTCTAACAGGAACTCTGTCGTCTTCCAACTACCACTACTTCATCTGTGCACACATGATCTATCTTCCTGGCAGTTAGCATGAAACGGTGATCCTTGCTGCAATTAAGGGCCAACTGCTAATTTATGCTCTGGATTCCATCACTAAGGCCTTCTCAGTGATACAGTATGTGCAATTATCCTTTACTCTATCATCTATTTCCCCCTCTCTTGTGAATCTTTCCCACTGCATACAAATAAGCCTAGGACGGGACCGTGCTTTTGAAACACAGTGTGGGTTGTGAAAACAACTTAGTAGATCCAGACCAGCATTTTTTTCTTAAAACAATAATAAGAATAGGATGGGGCTTCCCTGGTGGTGCAGTGGTTGAGAGTCCGCCTGCCAATCCAGGGGACACGGGTTCGTGCCCCGGCCCGGGAAGATCCCACATGCCACGGAGTGGCTGGGCCCGTGAGCCATGGCTGCTGAGCCTGCGCGTCTGGAGCCTGTGCTCCGCAACGGGAGAGGCCACGGCAGTGAGAGGCCCGCGTACTGCAAAAAAAAAAAAAGAATAGAATAAAAAGTGCCAGAGTGCATTAAAAATGGAAAGAGGAAACAACCAAGATGTCCTTCGTTAGGTTAATGGATAATAAACTGTGGTACATCCAGAGAGTGGAGTGTCATTCAGCTCGAAAAAGAAGTAAACTACTGGGACTTCCCTAGGGGCTCAGTGGTTAAGAATCCGCCTGCCAATGCAGGGGTCATGGGTTTGAGCCCTGGTCCGGGAAGATTCCACATGCTGTGGAGCAACTAAGCCCGTGCACCACAACTACTGAGCCCGCGTGCCACAACTACCGAAGCCCATGCGCCTGGAGCCCATGCTCCGCAACGAGAAGCCACCACAGTGAGAAGCCCACACGCCGCAATGAAGAGCAGCCCCCGCTCACCGCAACTAGAGAAAGCCCGCACGCAGCAACAAAGACCGAATGCAGCCAAAAATAAATAAATTTATAAAAAATAAATAAATAAAAATCTAGATGTGGACATATGCTTTCACTTCTGCTGGGTAAATAGCTAGGAGTAGAATTACTGGTAGGTAGCTTTATGTTTCCATTTATAACAGACTACTAAACTGTTTATCTAAGTGGCTGTATCATATTACATTCTCACCAGCAATGTATAAGAGTTCCATTAGCTCTACATCCTGGACAGCACTTGGGATTATCCTTTCTTTCTTTCTTTTTTCTTTTTTGCCATTAAAATAACCGTATCTTTTCATGTGGTTATTTGGTATTTGAGTATCTCCTTCTCTGAAGATGTTTAAATATCTGTGCTTTTAAAAAATACATCCTAGGACTTATTGAATTTTAAGAGTTCTTTATATAATACAGATACTAGCACTTTGTCAAATATAAATTTTACAATATTTTCTCACAATCTGTGACTTGCTTTTTCATTTTCTTTTTTTTTTTGCCACACCATGCAGCATGTGGGATCTTAGTTTCCCTACCAGGAATCGAACCCACGCCCCCTGCAGTGGAAACATGGAGTCTTAACAACTGGACCACCAGGGAAGTCCCTTCATATTTGTCTTCTGAAGTGTAAAAGCTTTTGTTTTAATGAAATATAATTTATCACTTTTTTCTTTTTCTTTTACGATTCATACTACTTGTGAAAGATGATCATGTCAACTGTGAACAAGAAGTCTTATTTCTTCCTTTCAAATCTGAATCTTACTTCTCTTTCTTGCCTTATCACACTGGCAAGGACCCACGGTACAATGCTGAACAAAAGTGGTAAGAACAGACTTCTCTACCCTGTTCCTAGTCAGAAGAGAAGCATTCAATATTTTACCATTAAATATGATGTTAGTTGTAGGTTTTTCAGATATCCTATACCAGAGCGGTCCCCAACCTTTTTGCACCAGGGACTGATTTCATGGAAGACAAGTTTTCCACCGACCGGGGTTGGGGGATGGTTCAGGCGGTAATGGGAGCAATGGGGAGCGGCAGATGAAGCTTCACTCGCTCGCCCGCCGCTCACCTCCTGCTGTGCAGCCCGGTTCCTAACAGGCCGTGGACTGGTACCGGTCCACGGCCCAGGGGTTGGGGATCCCTGCTATACCAGATTAAAAAAATTCTCATTTAGTGAGAGTTTTTATTACTAATGGGTGTTCAACTTTGACATATAC